CGCCCCCCCCCCCCCTCCCCCCCCTGCTGCTCACCGTTCCAGACTGCGTTCCTCCACAGATGCGACTCCAGCCCCTTGTACAGTGCGAACGGGCCTTCAGTCTGCAACAGGCTGGATGCGCAATGGATGACCCCGGTGTAACGCCCCAGGTTTTCCTTGGCCTGCATCTGTACCTTCACCACCTGATCGGCCAATAGAAAGATCCAAAATGGGGGGGGGGGGTTGTTCTCATGTAAACGCACACCTGCTATGTAGTTAGAGCATTGACCTCGCATGCCGGAACGGAGCGGTATGCAGGGGGGGTGGGGGCGTGTTCTAACGTAAACGCATACCTGTTGTGTCGTTAGAGCATCGACTTCGCATGCCGGAACGGAGCGGTATGCCAGGTTTTCGCCGGCCTAGGCTACGCTTCACAAAGGATAACCCGGGGGGGGGGGNCTTGCGTATGGATGACAGCTGCGTATGACTTAATATATTTTCTGGTGCTTTCACTTCCAGAGACAGTTGTAAGCACTGTGTAACTGCCTCGAGGGTGCTTGACCATCGAGTACACGAAGTGAATTGGCTTGTTTTACAACGTCTTTGCCAAGCGACGAAAACCCAATCCCGATGGCAAACACCGGGGGTCGGGGCTGCGGGAAGGGGAGGGAATATTGTGCTAAGAAGATACTTCAATATCGGTACGCCAACCACCTCGTTCTCCAGCTTACACTGACGAGACAACGGAGCAACAGTAGGAAGGGAGCGGCGTTCGTGCATGTGCATCTCCACCACCTGATCGGCCGAGAGTGGCGTGTCGTGGTGAGTAGGTGTGCTTGTTGCACCCGGAAGTCTCGGCATTTGATTGGCAGGTGAAGAGACGCTTGTAGTGTAGCAAAACGAAAGCGCGGTGGGTTTGGAGCGTCGAGGGACCTCTTGCGCAACTTTAACGTCCTTCACTAACCGATCGACACGGGAACAAGCGGTGGCATTGGCATTGGAACAGGGGTGGCCTTGGCACAGGATCGGGGGTGGTCTGGGCACAGGAACAGCCATGGTGGCGGTACCGTTAGCTGGTTCGTTCATCCTCGGCGCAAGCCCTCCGCTACCCCTGACGCTGTCCGCATGGTCGGTTTGTCTTCGCTTTTCCTCCGCCCCGCGCTTTGACGCGTGTACAAAAAATGGCCAACAACAGCAGTTCCTTGCCAATGCCTCTCCAGTCTGCCATGATTTCGCGGTCTCGCCACCGGGCCTTTACATTTTAAAGGTGAGTTATCGGGTACTTGAGACAAGGGCTACATGACTGACTTACTTTCTCATCACAAAAAATAGAGTGCCCACTGAGGAGGCGACTGCTAGTTTCCACACTTTGGCCTGCCAAGAAGCAGTTTTTTTCCGGTGTTTATTTTTTGCATAAAATAACAAGAAAGAAAAAAGCCCCGGTGCTTACCCCCTCCTGTGTGACCCTGGATGGTTGTAGTTATACGTCAAGTACACTGAAAAATGCGGTACTCTTCACACACTGAAAAGTGTAGTACACGGCTCACCACGAAATATGGGGGGATTGTCGCCATAATAAATAGGACGAAAAAATAAAAAAAACACACACACACAGCTGACCTCGAAAGGGGTGTTGACGGAGCACTCCGTCATCCCCGCCAGAGATCCCGCCGCAGCCGCTCGGTAGGACGGCAGAGTCCCGTCGTCTTTCTGGAGAAGCTTCTTGAACGACTGCACCCGACATACAAGCGCGATGGTGTGGTAGAGGGCTGTTATTGGTGTGCTCTTGGGAATGATCGTGGTTAGTGGTGGTCTAATGTGGGCGTTTTCGTTGCCTTTTTGTTGTTCTTGTTACTCGTGGTCTCTAGGTCACTGTTGTTCGGGCAACGGATGCCGGTACAAGCTTTCAAGGCGTGGCGGAGCTTCTGCAGGAAAAGTAGCAAAGGAAGACAACCTCGGGTCGTGCACCATCTGGAAGGCAACCTCCAATACTTGTGCTGTGCGGAGGCCAACAGCTTTACTCGCAGATGCTTACTACCTGGCACCCCACCACGGCTTCCGAAAATGGACGATAGCTTGTGGGACAAGTTGTGCACACGTTTGTCTCCCCAAACAACTGCTAGGTGGACACGCCACATGTATATATATTTGTCTGTGCAACTTTTTCCCTCGACTCATTGCCACCAGGCTGTAGCGGCCGCATATACATGAACTCAGTCGCCGAAAGAGTTCGTGTTAAACCAGTCGACAGGGGGCGTGCAGGGTTTACCCACCGCGTTGAGGCTGAACTTGATTGCCCGCTTGGGTGCCTCTGCCATCACCGGGCTCGCCACACCTCGGTAGAGGTTGGCAGGCCCCTCATTCTGGATGATGTCTCGGAAGATTGACACCATCGAGGTCGTTTTCCCTCCCGAGAGTTGCTGTCGTGTCTTCGCCACCTGTTGTTTTGCGTGAATGGGTTGTTAGCGAGAGCGGCATGTGCTCGTGAATTGTGCTCTTGAAACGAGAGGTTGATGTTGCGTGCATGGTGCCAGGGGTCTGCAATGTAAGCCAGTACTGGCAAAGGGCGATCGGTGTTTGGAATCCGTACCACATGTAAACAAAAACAGACAACCTGTACCCGTTCGATATATTACCAAAGTCGAAAGGCAGGTGCGCAAGTCTTGTCAGTGAGTGGAGGGAAACCGGCTGGAAACTGGGCTAATTTTCCTTGTTTCACACAATGAATGAATCCATCTCCATCCATAGAAAAAGAGTCTAAGATTAGAAATGGATATTCAGCGTCGGAAGCTACCCGAGCATCATACCGTAAACCTCGGAGTTTCCCCCCCGGGGAGGGGATCGTATTTTTTTTCTGAAACCAACCCCCCCGGGGGGAACTGGACGTAGTTTGTTTTTTCCAACGCTACCCCGAGGGGAAGCCCCCCCCCGGGGAGGTTGTGCAAAATAATGATGGTCCACACACCAGACACACGGAGAGTGGCGAAACTGAGATGGATAAGGTTAACGAGCAAGCGTCCAACAACCAGAGGGAGAAGGGACGTAAGAGCAACGAAGGCGAAGAGAATAGACAGCAAGGAGGACAGCAGCTGGGGGAGTTTGCCTCGTCCCGCGAATGATTTCAAGAAGAGGAAGAGCCCGCCTTCCAGCGACAAACGGTACACCTAAATCTCGCTCGAAGCGCAGATCTGTAAATGAATTTTCCGTGCCGTATCATGCTTGTTGCGCTCCGCGATGCAACAAAATCGACTCAGAAAAAAAGGAAAATACACCCCCCCCGGGAAAACTCTTGGGAAAACAGGTACGCCGGGGGGACATTGAAATACCCGGGGGGATCTTTTTTTCTTGGTCGAAAACGATCTACTCCGGGGCTAAATCAAAGAAACCATGCTGCCAGGCCGAAAAGGTAACGGGGGGGGGGGAACTCTACTAGGAGGGGAAAACTTAAAACTCCGACGTTTTGGTACACGATGACCTTCAATCCGTAATGCGTGTCGACACGGCAAGACGGGCGGGCTCTTTTCCTGTCCAATCGATCTTTTGGCCACGAAATTTCGTGTGGGTCGCATGGAAGATCCATCCCGCCCTAAGATGCACGCGAGATCATGTGTCTGCCGATGGTTTTGTAAGCATCTTCTCTCTCTGCGTAACGTGGAGTACAAGATGTACAGCAACGACAATGCGGCTCTTCCCTCCTCGCATCTTGTGATTTGCCTGCCAAAAGTAAGGCCAACCGCAAGCGGAGACGCTTCAACGCAAAAGCGCCCGAGGATACTGTCAAAGCCATTGCAGGGCATTCCCGTCTGCACAACCCTAAATATGAATTGCCTACAGCTACTGATCGACCGATGACTCTCCTGCTGCTATCTGCTATATTCAATACACATGTCTGATGCTCGGTTGAATGACGTCAACCAAGGTCATTGCAACGCACATCTGTAGGATACATGCACGCGATCTCCACCAGCCCGGCGCCGCCTCCTGCGACGAGGTTCTTCCAAAACGGTATCGAGGACTCAGGAATTGGCGTCCCTCGGCCATCTGGAGGGCACCTCACTTCCAGAGGCATTTCCGCTGCTGGTACCCCTATCGTCCTGCTGTTGTTGTGTACCACGGCGTACTCTGGTTCCCTGGACCAGCAGCCACCGGTGACTGCAGCAGGCAGGAGCAACGATGAAAAACTGAAACGTTTCTGATCGGAATCTGTGCCCAGGGTTGGTGATGCGCAGCTGGAGAAGAGGGCAGTGACGCGTCTGCTTTGGGAGGCACTGACTGCCAGAGCAGGCAGCCAGCAACACCGACAGCTTATGTTATCTGGACTCAGCCATCAGCCAGAGGGCTGCATCGCTCCGCAGCGGCGAAGGTTTCAAAATTTTGCACACCTCCTTCGCTAATTCCTAGTTGTCGTCCCCCTACCCGAGCGCGCTGTACCTCAAGTGTCAAGTGTGTGGGACATACATGTCCCTGTAAAGACCGTCACAAGCACACTTCACCTATAACAGAAGGTAAGCCGGCTATGAAGGGAGAGTTAGGGATGACGGGCTTCGTGTGTTCACTCTGTTTTAGCCACGTTGGTCTCGGGTACGGTCTCCTTTTCTCCAACAACATCGCGCTGGCTCCCCACGTGCAACAACAACAGCCCTGCGCAGCAACAGTCTCCGCTCATGTGACATGTTGAACGTCATGCGTACTCCAGGCTTCTCCGCCCTTGGTGTCTACGAAGCACGATAATCTGGCATGGTCGTCGGCTTCCCGACACCTCTGGTGCTTACGATGTTCAACCCTTGAGGTTCGGCGTTGTTGCTCCCTTTTTCTCACGAAAGGATTGTTTCTGCGGCACACAAAGCAGAGGCGGGGAGCCGCACACATATCTTACGATCATGAGAGGAATCGGGGCTCTGTGCTGCGCGCTAGCAGCTGTGCATGGAGTAACGGGATTCGTGGCGCCCCTCTCGCCAAGAGGTTTCGGACAGCAGCAGACGGCGCGAGCTTTCTTGGCCCCCTCGTCCTCCCAGCAACCAGCAGCAGCACGATTGCGCATGGTGGCGACGGACTTCCCCAAGTTCACGGTGTCCCTCATGGACGACACTCGTGTATCGTTCCACATGGACGAGAAAGACGTCCGGAAACTGGCTGATGTGGTACGTGTGGTGGTGCAGATCGAAAGGTAGCAGTATGTGCACTATTGGCTTCTATGGGTCGGCATGCATCCTTTCCGGCTCTACAGATACTGGTACTTTCCTGTTGCCTCAGTTTTATGTAAGATTGTGTGTACTGGTATGCTGTTGTTACACAAACGTTGAGTGCATTGTGTACCGGTACTTACTATAATAGTAGACATCGCACATTGAGAATACCCGTTTCTCTGTTACCGAGCAAGGTCCCTGAATTATGAGCTTCCTTAGGGTTTTCTCGTGGTAACATTAATCGCGGCTGTCCGTGAATCTTCCGTTATTGTCTCTGCAAACATGGAACTAGCATTCCTTCATTCGGTGTTTTTCCCTCTGTTTTTTTATGGACGTAGCATCACGTTCACCAAACAAGCGAAAGGCAGGCAGCAAGAAGGAATGCGATGCCATCTCTCCAAAGACAATAACAGAAGATTTACGCACAGCCGTAATGAATGTTACCACGAGCAAACCCTAAGAAAGCTCAAGCTTCAGGGACACTTGCTCGGTAATAGAGAAAGGGTATTTCTCAACATGCGTTGCGTGCGCCTCTAGCTCTCTGCGGGAAAGTACTGCTGAGGCGTGTATGTGTTTGTCGTTTGAGCAAACTAACCGCTATACTGTTCTTCCCGAGAAACGAGAGACATTAGGCTTTATCAGGCGGCAATACTATCCTATTTTTCTAGGAATATCTTCCCGCGTATTAGGGAAAGTTTCGGCAGTACCGTACGCCGAAACGTCTGCTTATTTTCCCCGGAGGTGGGGCCGAGGAGGGGTACGCATAGGAGTTCCATAGCACTACGGTCGTATCAGATCATGTTCGGGTTAATGTGGCATGAGGTTGAATTCACCTACCCGTTATATTTGCCATGGCTTGCAGCAAGCACCCCCCATGTTCAAGTAAGTCCAACTCGAGCTGTTCGCAGCGAAGCTGCCGGCAGATGGTTTCATGTTTCCCCTCGCAGCTCTCATGTTGTTGAGAAGTAATCGGACGCAGGAGCGCGAGCCATATGGACGTTGTCTAACTCTCGATTCTCTCAGGATTTCGTGCCCCGATGTCCCTGATACTAACCCGTGTACATCAAAACGACTCCACCGTGCACCCGCCCGTCACATGTACAAAGGTGAACAACATTTTGAGGTCCTTCAAACGCCTGAAAGCGAACGCTGCGGAAGGGGGAAAGCCGTACAAGGAAGACAGCGTGGAGTACAAAGACACTATCGACGGCCTTAACATCGTGGTAAGGTTCCAACGCGGCAGCGCTGTAGAGTGCCTTTGTTCTGGTGTATGTTGTGAGCCTCAGGACGCACGCATACGATACATGACCCGAACTTCGTGGTGAGAAATAAGTACCGCCAAAACAGCGGTCGCCTCATTGGGGGTACCCGGAGCTACACTTGTTTGGCAATGACCATCTCCAGTCTTAAGTCAATGTTCCGTACCATTGCTCATGTAGTGACGTATGTACTGTCTTGTGTGGGTAGCGTACACGTAGTTTGTCCCGAGGTTTAGTGATCGGCCTTACTCTCTGTTATCTCTTCGGATGGTCTGTATGTCTTAACTGTCCTTGTCGTCCCATGGACCGTTGTCTATCTGGTGGAGTATGTCTTTGTGTTGGCCACATACTGTGTACGCCGTGTTTACAACATCGCACCATCTTCTGCTTCACTGAGGCACCTCTGGTGCTATGTACATGCTCTATGCATACGAGCTAACACATGGACTAACGTCTTCGGGCGTCGACGTCTGCTGCCACGTGCTGGGATACACGCCAAAATTCCCCTAATAGATAATGAGCCTTAAGGTTTAGCGTGTCCTTTCTTCTTCAAAAGTTGCTGAGAGTATTCATATGGGCGAGTCGGCCCTTTCAATTCCTCTCCGCTTATATCCCGTGTCTGGCACGACTAAGATTGGACACGTGCATGCAATCCGCCGTTGGCTGTGTTGCCTATGTTTCCCTTCCAAAGCCCTTTCGTTGGTGAAAACCGCTTTCATTTGTATATGGCGAACTTGCTGTCTCTTCGCAACCCGCGTCTTTCCCCTTTCTTCGTGTGGTCCCTTGTGGTAAACGCCTAATTCGCCAAGAACCAATCCCTCCGTGATTCCCCCTTCCGTGGCCAAAATGCCTGCGATACGCTGTCAGGTGGAGTGCAACCCGAACATCTTTCCGGACCCTTTCAAGGCACAGGTTTTTGTGCGTATTTACGATGACAAGATGGAGGTCAGCAGCCAGGCGATGCTCACCAAGCTGACCGATGCTATCAAGCAGCACTTGTCCCTGTTCAAGTGAAAAGTTGGCGGCCGCGCTCCACGACGTGGCGTTGCAAGGGCTCTTTTTTTGTCCGTTCCTCTTTGTCCTGCTTTTGAGCCGGATACCTTGAGGGGTGTTCTTTCTGGTGGTACGTGTTTAGAAATGTGCGTGCCATTCTCAATTTATTGAATAAAGTGTGTGGCTTCTTGGCAGCTAGCAGGTAGCACATGGCATCGTCTATTTCGCTTCGACTACACACTTTGTGTGCATGTAAGAGTGCCGCCAAAAGAAAACCTGCCCAGAAAAGCGAGGTGGCTTGCATAGCACCGGGGCTATACAGACATACGTCGGTGGAATGACCGGAGACGGAAAATGGAATTTGGCAAGTTTGATCTTGGAGTCGATGCCAACAGCACAGCTGAGTGTGTTTTGGAAGCTTTTTCTTGACGTCGATGCTAACAGTGCAGCTGAGTGTGTCGGGGGTTGTCGGTATGTGAGCCGGACAACAACCAGGTGATGCATGTCGGGTATATGCAGTCATGCAGTGGCTGTCCGGTTGCATTGGTTCTTATTTGTACATGCGAAGAGTGTCGGCTTAGGGAAAAACCTCCCCGCATCAACAGCAGTGACGAAGTACCTGGTCAATCGGCGAGACAATGTAACGGCAACGTCTTATCCAGAAAATTCCTTTTGTTCGGTCTTTTGGACTGGTCCATTTGATTCGCAAGGTTCCTCAAGCTTCGGAGATTCGCGCCTACTTCTCAGTATCCGAAAATGCCGTGCTCCTTCTTACAGCAGTAGCGCATGCAGCAAGCGTGGGTGTCAACACGGCAACAGCCACTTGGACTGAACACGTATACACACCGCCCACCCTTCCTTGAATTCACCATTCTACGAGGTCTTTGACGTTCAAGTCAGCTTAAGATTCTGCCCTGCGTCGCGCAGAAGTTCCCACACGAATCTGGGAACGCCCACGACTTCAGGGATCTCGCCTGCTGGCGCGGAGGCTTCGGCGAACTCGGCTTGCCGCGGAGCCACCGCCGCAGAAGGATGTCCTAACCTATCACACGGAGGTTCCGTCGCCCTGACGCAAACCTTCGGCTGGCGCAGTGTATGGCAAGCGAGCTCAAGAGCACGGACAGCATACCCGTCGTGAAGCCGTCGCCGAGCGAGCAGCAGCTGGTTCTCAAGAAAGGCAACGGCACCGGCTTGTCCTCCGGACCACCCGCTTGGGAGCACCTCCGTGGTTGCCACGAAGGTGAACGACGGTTTCGGTTGTTCTCGACTACCACCGCTACCGCCACAGCCGCTTCCATTCGGCGCAGCGGTGCACTGCGCTGAATCTTCCGCGCAGACGCTGACGCTGACGCCCCCTTCCAGCTGCTCTCGCAAGGCATGGGTGAAGTCCTCATTTAGGCCAGAACGAGCGTCCTCCCTTTCAAGCGCGGAATCAATGGCCCCTGCTCCGCCACGCTCCACTGCTGCAGACTCACTGCCGTGGGTCCTTTCGTCGCACGGCCCCTCGCTGCTGGTGGTGCTTTGAAGGCCTCTTCCAACGAAAGATGAGTTTCCTCTAGTTGACTCGACGCTAGCCCGCGGCCCTGGCGGCTGTTCTTCGGTAGACGGCCAAGGGTTGCTTCGCGCAGAGGGGAAGAATGCGTGCTCCGACAAAGCTGAATCTTCCTCTCTAGGTGACGATTCGTGGCCTTCAGGATGCTCCCAGCCCGTCGCGTCGGTCTGGGGCTGTGTCACCAGCACCTGAGAGGGCAAGCCTGGCAGGAACATCGCCTGCGTGGCCTGCGAAGGGTCAGGTGGCGTTGACGTTATCGACGGCGGTACCGCTGGAGAGCTGCAGATGTCCTCGCGGTTTTGCGACGAGTAGCAGTCATTGCCGTCGGTATCCCCGCGCCTTTCCCGCTCTTGTTGCACGCCAGCTCTGCCGTGCGGATGCGACGACAGCTTTGTGCATGATGAGGACATGTCTGATAGTGCACCCGTACAGCGGTCTTGTCTCATGACCGATTTTGCCTTCTCTAATCCCCAATCCTTCGAGCTTCTTGGGGCAGCTAAGCACAGTCTTATCTGGTTCAAATCCGACACTTCCTTTTCTACCGGCGCTGCTGCAGCTCCGGTCGTGCAGTCCTGTGCGACACAAGGACGAGGAACAAGACCATGCTCACCAACCGCTGCCCTCCCTTCCACGGCGACAGCAGTGTCGTCCAGTGCTTCCCGTGACCGATCTACATCCCTGCCTTCCTCCCTTGATCCAAGACCTTCGTCGCTCAATGAGCTGGCGTTGACCTTGCCGCTCCTAATACATATGCTGCGGTCATGATCGTTAGCGGCATGGTAGGCATCGATGTCCGCCGGCCGGATCTCATCGTACCAAAGAAAAGGAGACGACAACCTCAAACCACTGCTGGTGTCCCGGCTGCTGCTAGCACCGGCCTGCTCTCTCACAGTGGCCTCGAGAATCTTGTACAGAGCTTTGCAGTGGCTATGAAAGGTGTAAGCTCCTCCGTCGCCTACCCCTGTGTTCGTTGTCTCCGACATCGTCCCCCCGGTTCCTGCTGGTGGTGCCGCCGGGGTGTTGTGACTGCCGCAGGCATTGCCAAGAACCCGACCACAGGTGATGATATAGTCTATGAAAATCTTGAGCGCAAGATGACAAAGACGGCTTCCAGCAGTACTAGGGGGGAGAATGGGAAGAGGGAGGGAGCCAGCGGGCGAGAGTGAGTAGCGAGGTACAAGGCATTGCGAAATTGCGAGATAGCGAGATTGCTGCGGAGTTCTCCTTCTCCGTGTTCTCCGTAGACTTCGTTACAAAAAAAAAAAAGGACGTTGGCTCGCCCGCCGAGGCTTGAGGCCTCTCTCGTTCTCCCTCAAACCAACTATTAACCCCCCCTCTCTACCCCGGGAAACACCGACGACAGTCCCAGACCACCGGTCCATTCCTGCGGAACAGAAGGGAAGGGTGAAGCTGCTGTTGGTGTGCTCCATCCCGAGAAATTGTCATGGACGCCGGTTTGAATCCGGTTTCAGACGACGGCGGTGGTAGTGCTCTCGGGCAAACGGCGGCTGGGGATATTGATCTGATGGGAGCAAAGAGCAATGAGCTCTTGTTCGCGCAGGCGATGGACCCTACCCCGCCAAATGGGGAAGCGGTGGGGTTGATTCTCGACATCAATCCTCTTGACCCGGCGGTGATCGCTGTTGTTGGTGCCGTCGTCGTGTGTCTTGTTGCCGCGACATGGTATAGGCGCAAGCCCAGCAAGACCTCTCGAGCAACAACGACTCTCGCTACGGGCGGCAGTGCAGGGACGGTATCAGCAGCGACCGACCGCACGTCTTCACCGGTGATTCAATCGCGGTACAGTACCCGAGGACATGGCGTCCGCACGCCGGAAAGCCGCAGATCGGCTCGCCGTGCATCGTCTCCCGCTTCGGCTAACCGTTCGTCGCCGCCGGGGAAGGTGACGATTCTCACTCCCCAACAGCTTGCACTCTGCGAGGTGTTGTACGACGTTTTCAACGGGGTGGTGCCGTCGCGCGGCATCGAGAGCAAGGCAGTCCAGGAGTTCGATCTTTCGGTGAGTGTTGGTGTGGTGTTCTCGTGGTGGTGGCCTGTCGGTGCCACCAAACGCGGACACCGACCGAATCGCGCAAGGACGCCCGGCTATTCAGTTTTCAAGATGTTTTTTCTTCCAAAAATCCGGCAAGGAGTGTTCCCCGCGTCCACCTCGTTGTAGCCTTGCGTTCTTTCTTTGACCCTCATGCACCTCACAGGACTTGAGCACTGCCCTTTTATTTATAGGTCAGCACAGCAGCTCGACGGTACCCTTGTATGTTCGTGCTTGCGACGATGCACAGCAGTACTTTAGCTGGGACACTTTCATCTGTTACAGAACGGCTTTCCCGGGGTCCGCCGCCGTTCTGCCACGCACCGATCAAGTGTCCTTTGCGCGGTGGCGACGCGAACACGTGCTGTTTGTACGGCACACGTCGCGATGGCCAGCACGAACGCTGTGTCCTCTCCTTCCCGTTGAGTGTTCGGCAATATTTTCTCTCTCTCTCGATTCAGCCCGCCTGACCTTCGATGCTGCCACGCTCCTTGCTCTCCGCTGCTCTCAACCCCGCTGAAAATGAACTGCCAGACCGCTGACATTAGACGGCAGTTCAAGAACATCCAGCGGGAACGAGAGCTGGACCGTGGAAACGCCTCCTCCTCCGACAACAACGGCAGCGGTGCTCCGCCGAGCTCGCCGACGCCCTGCCCCGCGGCGCAGTCGCGCCTAACGCGGCCCTCGACTCGCCGCGCTTCCATCGCGGCTGCTGCTGCTGACACCAAACAGCAACCGGAAGCAGGCAAGAAACCCTCTTTCAGGGCGAAGAAGGGCTCTCGAATTCCTGTCCCAGGCAAGCAGACAGCAGCAGCAGCAGCAGCAGCAGCAGCAGCAGCAGCTGCCACCACCGCTCCGTCCACCAAGAAGCCGCCGGTATCCCCGAGATCGACGCCAGTCAAGCGCGGCGCGGCGGCGAGGCCGGGCACGGCGGGCGGCGGCGGCGGCAGCTGCGGCTCGTCCGCGCGCGCAGCGAAACGCGCGGCACCGTCGTCTCCATCCGGAAGGTCGGCGGCTTCGGATCTACCGTCATCTCCGCCCGAGTCTCCCATGCGGACGCGCGGCAGGAACAACAGGACCGCGTCCGTGCGCATCGGCTCTCCGAAATCTGCGCCGACGAAGCGAGCGGCGGCGGCTGCTTCTTCCCCTAGAAGCGGCAGCGGAGGCACGCCTTCGAAGAGGGGAAAACCTTCGGTTCTCGAGATCGCTAGGTGATAACGTTTTCATTGGATGTGCTTACTCAATTGAGTTGTGGGTGTTGGATCTGCTGTTGCGGCGTTATTTTTGTCAGGGCGGTTGGGTAAGGATGATTTCGTGAACGTCTCTGGGGCGGGCTCGATAGGCGCAAGTATCATAGGAATACACGCTAACACCCGCGAACACCCAAATGCGTCTTTTTTTCACCCCAAACCGCAACCTCTCTCCTTTATGATCATCATTGCAGCTTCACAAGCCGCTCTTTCGTCGTTTGTCAACGGGTTGTTGTCTGCCGGCAAAACGACTCACCGGAAGAGTGCTGTCAAACAATCGTCAAACTCAAGCATCCATCATCATATTCAAAGCTTGTGGCACTGTGCCCCGAATCCAACTGGGCCTTGTGATAATACGTTGATCTACTTCCCCACTAATTCCCCACAGGCGCGAGGTTCAGCAGCAGATCGTCGACGTTGCCAGCACCCGTGCAAGCAGCCTACGGGCGCGGAGAAGCAGCAGGAGCAACACCAACACCGCCACGCGTCGCGGGAGCAAGTCCTAAGAATGAACGGTGCACCACATCATCTACATGCTGGTAGCCGTGGAGCTAGCTCCTTCCTATGTGCACACCTTTGCTAGATGGACGGGATGCCGTAAGGTTATTCCTTCGCTTCGATGGTGTTGCTTAAATTCGTACTGGATTTAGGGGGTCCTGTCCTCTCCACAGTTGTTGATCCGCGTTTATTTTCCTGCAGGACTTGAGGTGAAGGTCTGTACCGTCCATGTAGACGGCCATATGCTTGTCCGGCTCCTGAAAACGCAAGTTGGCCTTTTCTCTTTGCCGCCCAGCCCGAGACGACATTCATTCCATGTCTCTTTGTTTTTTGTTTTTTTTCTTTCAGCCGGCCAGCTTGACGTTGCCCGCCCCTCCCGGTGGGTGAAAGGCGGGAAGGGATATCGTTAGGGTAGACAGACTAGGGAAGACATTTTGGAGCCACCTTTCGCAAAGTAGAAAGGAGCGATTGGCCATCGGTGATGGGTCCTGTGGGAACAATGCTCCGTCCTCTCGAGGACGCGTGGTCAATGGTCTAACCGCTAAGGTATGCAAAACATAAGAGTACCCGCCCCCCCGCCCCCGCCCGGTGGGTGCATGAAGTTTTCGTCGTTGTTTGTCTCTACTTTCAATATGGTTCGGTATACAGCTGTAGAATGGGTTGATATATCTGGGAAAATTGTAGTGCACCACGCGGAGTTCTTCATGTACCGTGTCGCATGTGTCGTGTGCTCGATTCGACGGGACTCTAGGGTGTGCTTCAGCTGCAAAATTGAAATCTCATGCGCACGGCCTTGCGATTCGTAGTGAGCGGGCGCCCTTGGCTCAATTTCACGCGGATTTAAAGTTCCGCACCTGTAGTTGTGGTGTATGTGGACGGAGTCTACGATGCATGGCGCAGCTGCCGTTGAGTCTTGCTTGTAATACCATTTGTCAAGTCAGTGTAATTTTCTTGTCTAAGAGCACAAGGGCATAGTCACACCGGCAGATACCCCGAAAGCTCAAGTGAGTAATGTGTCAACTTGGAAAGTTTTTTTTTGTTTCTGTGGCTTCCGCCTAGCGTATTACGCGTGGACTAGATCTCCCTGTTTGGCAGTTCTATTTTTTAGGCGCACGCCACCATTTATGTGTGTAAGGATTCTTGCAGTGTAATAGGCTTCTGAGCCTCATTGTATTAAGGATATCGAGGACTTTGGCACGGAGACCTCCCACTGGGAACGACAGTGTATCAAGTGGCGTACATGGGATGCGAGAAGTGAAAACCATACACCGCCGCCACATATACGTGCGCGGGCTACTGCATGCACGCCATCAGCTGCATGGCAACCCGTCCTTTTTCTTGGGGGAAATTTAATTTGTTCGTTCAATTTGGGGGGGAGGGTACGAATTTTTGTGCAGCAGGTCGACATACTCTGCGTTCTTCTTAGCAGGGGGTCGAAGAGCAGGAGGGTCAGAGGCGACGGGGGTTGATGTGTAAAGCTTGTTTGGAAAGAGCAGTAATGAATCCCTGACGCCATTTGTACGTCGCAGTCTGGCTTGAAGAAAACAAAGGTGGGCAGCGTTAGAGCTCATTTCGATATCGGGACAGAAAGAGTAGGTCGGCGTTTCTGCTATTTACCAGTCTCTAAGAGTCGCAATTTTCCGAGTCATTGAGGGGAGGGGGGGAGCAAGCGTAAACCAGGCTTCCAAGGCATGTAGTAGGTCATTGGTTGGCGAGCTTGATGATGACCTGCTAAAAGTGCCGCAGTTTTGTTGTGGCCGAAAACTGCTCCGCGACCAAACCAGTCAATACACACAAACCTGTTGTGAATGGTTGTACTCTATCTTGTCACGGGCAAGAAGCTGTTATACGCGCAATCCTTCGTGATTTGTCTTTCTCAAGAGTCTCCGCCCGCAGCGACTTCCTCCTCAACCGAAGCCAGAGAGGGAAAAGAACAAGAAATTTAGGCGTGAATCGCCACACAGGAAACAACCCTGGTTTGTAGCGCGGTTGCGAAAACAAGCCCACAAGCCACGGCTGCCACACACTATGTAGGTGTGTGTGTGGTGCGGGCATTTACACTCTCTGTATTCATGCGTGAATCGCCACATAGGAAACAACTCGTTGCCCTTCCCACGCATCGGGGGTTTGGAAATATACCGAATCGGTTTAGTGGCACCAAGCCATCCACCAGGAGAACACATCGCAACCTCGAAACAAAAAAGGTTTTCGTACGTGCGTGAAGACTGCCAACCGTACCCACCCTTCATTTTACTCGGCACGGCACTCGACGCCATGGATGATGTACGTAATTCCGTGCGGTGAGCTTGCGGCATCACCACACGTCTGCTACTGTTGTTGGTCCAGCACTTGAGCTCGTGACAAACACTCCATGAGGATAGCGGACAGCGATACAACCTCTGGGAGTTGTCCGCATTGTTTTGGGCGGAGAAATCGACAAGCTGGGAGATTTCACGCCCTTGGTGAAGAACGCCAGAATCTCAACTTTGGTCACATTGAAATTGTTTTCGTAATCGTACCTAAAACCTACACCGAAAGTTAAGGCTGGCACCGAAATAGATACGTGAGCCGAAAACGCGCGCGCACACACACCAACACCGGCGGCGTGCATTTCCGTTTCCCTACATCCATATCGCAAGATGATGCCAGACGAATGCCAGCTTTTCTCTCATGACAGCCTTCATGAAGAACGGCGCATTGTAGGCAGGAACGGGGTACGCCAGCAAGACGCGGGAGCCAACCGACTAGCAGCAGCAACCCGCGCGTAGGTTCTCACCCCTCCTATGCATAGCATACGACGTGCCCTTCGAAGCGCATGGATGTGTCATTTCCTAGTGATCAACATACTGTGAGATAAAATTCATTGCGAGGCAAACCAAGTGGTCGCTTCTGCTTCTCTTCGTGGGCGAAGGACAACTCGATCCCCCCGCCTGTTCTTATCAAACAGACCTATGTATGTATTACCCGCTCGTCTTTAAAAGGCTATGTATTCAGCAACACCAGCCTACTACATAATGCTCAATTTCGCCGCTGTTATCACCCACACTAGAAGGACAACGTGTAACGTTATAACGTGTAACGTGCGCCAATACCCTCAGTTTTTATCTACTAAATCACCTCGGTGCCCGCGGCCACGTCTCGCTCTCTTTCATGACAGTCCTGCGTAAAAACCGCCCGCCATTGGGTCTTCCCCCCCATCTACGTTTTCGCCACAAGAGCTCAGCCCAAGATACGAGAGCCCCCAAAACAATCGGCGCGCACGTGCTGTCTACTTCTGCGAGCAGCAGGACAATCGCTTTTCATGAAAAACACGCATCTGCCTGCACGCCAAGCAGCACCGCGTAATAAGGACACCACGGCATGACATGCCGTACGCGGTCCAACTCTCGCCCGCGTAGCGGTCCAACAAGAAGACTGTTCCAAAGTTCCCCCGTTCCTGCCAGCGTGCCACCCCAAGGCTCCCGACAACCGGTCCATCGCTGTCAATCGCCCTCTATAAGCCACACACACCATACGCAGCGGCTGCGATCGCTCAATATCGCGCTAAAGGCAGTCACACACCATGGACTAGCGACACGCACGTCCTAACGACGCGACGATTTGTTCCACGAGATCTACGATGCAAAGGGGTCGATCAACGTTCCTGCTGCGGCCGCCGCGATCAGCACGATGGCGAGACCTGCTACGCCGATCTTCGTCTGTGACGGTAGCAGCAGCGGTAAGGAGAGTTCCAGGGCCGCAAGCACGAGGGAGAAAAGGGAGAAAGAGATGAGCTACGTGTGCACAGTGCCAACACGGTCGTGCCTGGCACGGGGCGAGACCCAAACACAGCCGCAACACAGCAGTGATCGGAAGGACACATCCCAAGCAGCGGGGTATGTCCATCCAGCTGTGCTGGAAAGCTCACGCTCATCCGAGAATAAAAAAAGCGTCTCAGTCAACCGTAATGCCAGAGACTCGGTTCGCGTTATGTTGCCGACGGGTTGGAATTGGGAGGTTGAGAGGTCGACGCCGGGCGAAAACCAAGTCCAAAAATATCGAAGTACTTGAGACACGTCGGTCGGGACTGTCCCAGATGCGGCGTAGCCTTGATCGCGCATTGACATAAAAAACATGACGTCAAAATCCTCCGGAGAATCACGGGGTCCCCGTTCCCACCGTCCTCACCGCTCCAGCACGCCTCGCTCGTTACCACTAGCTCTCAAGCCGATACTAGTGTCAGCCCGCCTCTAGCCTGCCATGTTCATCGGGGCTAGTGCCCGCCCCCCCCCTACCCCCCCCCCCCGCTCTC